ACCCATTCAGTTAATTAATATGATTTTCTTTACCATTGATATATTGATATACAAACAAGCGCTCTGTAACAATGCGACTAAATCGTTCCATAGTGCCTTGGCTGCAGTGAGCTTGCCTTTCATCGTGCCGGACTCTACAATTATGCTCTGTTAAAAATTTAGTTACTGACTCCATGAATTCATGCCCAGGATCAATTTGAAACAACTTGATAGGACATTAGCCACCTCTGTAGAATCGTTTAAGTGGAGGGGTCAGCCTCTTTGTACCGACTTCCTATATCCGCCACAGTCCATGCATATTTCAATGTTCTGCATCATTCTGCATCATGTTGAAGTCGGCTTGATGTAAAATTGGAATTTATCATATACTTCCGTAATAATTCAGTGATAAGTGATATTTTCATTGTAGTGAACACAACACTTGATATTTCACTGCAGTGAACATATCACTTGATATTTCACTGCAGTGAACATATCACTTGATATTTCATTGCAGTGAACATAACACTTGATATTTCATTGCAGTTGCACATAACACTTTTACATAATCATTGTCTTGCAAGAAATGTCTCCACTTACATTGTCTCCCTTTAGCCTAAATGTCCGGCCCGTTCGCAAACTGTTGACGTATTTTTTTTCTCATTGACAAAGTAAAATAATGACAGATGGTCATTAGTTAATATCACTTCTTGCCGTTTGTTATTCTCTCAAAAAATGTTTCATTATAAGCTGTAAATTTCTCATTTAACTGGTCAATCGAGAATGTTTCGCAAACCGCCATGTTTGTTATTTGAACAGCTTATATTCTTTCGCTTCCAACTTGCGGTCTCAAAGTTTTCAAGAATATTTTTTGTTAAGTTGATTTGTAAATAATCATCTAATTGTATGATAAAGTTTAGTTTGGTTTGTTTGTTGTTTAACGCCGCACTCCGGTAGTTTTGATGTCCCAGCCAGAACATTTCTTTTTGTAGATGACAGAGCATAGATAAATGTTATTGTGTTAATGGGGGGGGGGGCACGGGTGGCCCAGTCGTCTAAGGCGCCGCGATTCGCTGTGCAGAGTTGCGTCCCCTGGCCACGCCAGTAACCTATGATTGTGGGTTCGAATCCCGGTTCGCCCCAATTATGTTTCTAGGTTTGTCAGCACCATACCCGTGCTCGTGGGTTTCACCGAAGTGGTAAACGTCCGAGACCTGCATCACTTCGGGCTTTCCTCCCACATTAAGCTGACACGCCGCGATATAACTGGAATACTGTTAAAAGCGGCGTTAAACCCAACTCAATCACTCACTCACTATTGTGTTAATGATGATACTTGGCGCTTCAGTCCTCCAGTAGAAACATCGACTCTGTTCCAAGAAAATACAAAAAGTCGATGCAAGAGAATAACCACTCTTGATTATCCGCCTTTGTTTTCTTCGTTCTACCCTCCGTGTTAGAATTAGTCTTCAGCAACCTTTACCAGCATACCGTGCGCGCACACCCAAACACACACGTGCATGCACGTCGATATACGACGGCTGGTCAAAAAGGTCAATAGCCTAACAAACAAGTGTGAAATTGTTATAAATTTTATTTTCCAACATAATCTCCCTGTTTTTCAATACACTTCTCATATCGATAGTGAAGCTTTTCCAGGCAGGAAGAAGTTTTCGGAAGCCACCCTGAAAAACCCATTCACGGCAGAATTTAGGTCATCGTTGTCGTCATAGCACTTTCCTCGAAGGTGTTCTTTCAGTTTAAGAAACAGTTGGAAATCACTTAGTGCCAGGTCGGACGAGTATGAAGGGTGTGGAAGCCCTTCGAACCCACATTGTCGCCCCGCAGCCTTTGCAAGTCGAGAGGTGTGAGAAGAGGCATTGTCATGTAGTAGTAGTAGCATCCAGCAGTCAGCATTCCTTGCCGCTTTTCTTTGATAGAATTTCTCAGGCGATGAAGCAAATCAGCACAGTAGGCACTGGTAATCGTCTTTGGACTTTCTGAGAAATCACAAGAATCACACCCTTTGCAATCACAAGAACGCGTTGTTGGTCAATCCAAAAAAGAAAAATACCACAATATGTCTGTTCACAACAATATTGCGTTGTTCATACGAATATAAGACATTTCTTTTTCTAATATAATTTCAATACACTGTCTACATTAGCATGTTTAAACTGCTGTTGTTGTGGTCATTAATAAGTCAAGTCATTTATTCTTATATCTTCCCACCTTGGTACAAGAGCATATTTTAAAGAATATTTACATATGCAGCAATGTACATAATTACAGTGAGTGAGTGAGTTGTGTTTAACGCCGCTTTTAACAGTATTCCAGCTATATCGCGGCGTGTCAGCTTAATGTGGGAGGAAAGCCCGAAGTGATGCAGGTCTCAGACGTTTATCACTTCGGTGAAACCCACGAGCACGAAAGGCAGACGCATTGTATTGGAATGATACACAATACTATTTTATGTTATGAGTGGGGCGGTGGAGCCGCCTAGTGGTAAAAGCTTTCGCTCGTCACGCTGAAGACCCGGTTTCGATCGCCCACATGGACACAATATGTGAAGCCCATTTCTGGGATACCCCGCTGCCTTATTGCTGGAATATTGCTAAAGCGGCGTTAAACAATACCCACTCTCTCTTATGTTATGAGTAGAAGATGTTTTTAGTTCTTTTAATCTTGTAGGACATAACACACGATTATACTTAAACGCGCTTGGCCAAATAAAATTTTATATAAATAGTGACATTTAAATAGATAGTGAAATTCATCTGCAGTAGTCGAACTGATGTTCTGTCGGTCGTCTCCGGAGGAAAAGTGTAGGCATTGATATATTGTGGGGAAGTAATAAATAAATAATTTTATATAAATATTTCATAGTGTCTCTCGCCGTGATATTGCTGGAATATTGCTAAAAGCGGCGAAAAAAACATACTAATTCTTGAGAAATCCGATTAAGTTTCATTAAGAGATAACATTGCTTGGGATAGCTATTTGTGGTCATTATCAACAATTTAAGCCAGTACTTGATACGGCTTGTTTGATAATAAACAGTAAACCATATCTACCACACTCACCAAGTACTGCTACATTAGTTACATGATTTCCAATGATTCCAGTTACAAATTTACAGAATTTAACATGAAACCGTTCTATACATTCTGCTTTCGAGTGACCTTCTATTTCTGATGAATATCTGTGAGTCAAATATCTTAAACAGTTCAGATATTGTTTTATTGGCTTTATACACAAGTGAATTAATACCATTCGACCAGCACAGTCTGTTTGCAATCCTAGGTAGTTATAATATATATAACTCCCAACTTCCATTTGTCATTACTTTTGAGTAAACGACCATTTCTGAATGCACAACAAAAAAATGTTCTCAATAGTTGAGAATCCCTTCCGGATGTCAATCTGAGCAGATGTATCATACTGTTACCGTTACCAATTTACGTAAGTCTTGAGTTTAATCCACTTGAGAAGAGGCTCCCAACACTCCTAAGAATGGTAATAAGGCTGCCCGTGACAGATGAGTCTGATGCAACACCTAAGTTTGGTATTTGGATAAATAGGATTACATAAATATAATATGAAATGAACCTTTCAGATGTTCATCAGCTTTTATTCCAGTGGAGAGGGTTTGTAAGACCAAGTTATTCAAATTATACTTATTACTGCCACGGTATTAATCATCGAATATGTGTTCTTTTAAATAGGCTAAATTTTTCAATAATTGCCAACACCTGAAGGGATAATGTAAATCCTGCTGGGATCCATGCAGGTACCAAAGGTGCTGTTCGTCCCCACGTTCCATAGTATGGTAATCTTTCGTTCGTTGCTGGCGATCTGGAGCCCGTTTTCATCATGTATTGTCATGTTCAGATATGTTTGTATGATGAAATACTAGTTTTGAATACTATCTGTGAGAGTCTAGTTATTTGCTGGGTTTTTTATGTTGACAGGTCTGTATGAAGCCGAAATGTATTGATTATTTATGTGTATTTATTTACAGTCACGATTCGGATCAAATACTGCCGATGTGACTTTAAATGTTAATTCACTCATTAGATATTAAATCTATTCCAGGAAACCCATTACGTTTCAACGATTGTATGGCGACTTTAATCTCCAAATTGGATATTTTTGCATTATATGCATCATCATCCTACACATTTGATACTGTTATTTCGATAACAGTGAATTTTACCATTCAGTCTTTTACACAATTCATTTGGGCATTGTCTTCTTTAGATTTCATATCAGATTTGGGCTAAAGTGAGTTCAAAGGTCTTTAAGTGATTTCATTTTACATCTTGATTCTTTATTCTTAAATTCAAATATAGTTTATAAGTCCTTGGCTTTTGGGGAAAATAAGGTTTACAAATTGCATCATTCCTTTAATAAAAAAAAGTTTAGCTTTGTAATAGTCATCATATGTTTTTACAATCATTGTATACTAACATTTTCCTTTTGGTACAATAAAAACGTTTTTTATGCTATGTATCAAAATGGCTAGTCTAATAAAGTGCAGCGTGTGATCAGTGTGTGACGTCATTAGGGGGGGTTATTTATAAATCCGTCAATATCTGCCTGAACTTCTACGGATTCAGCTGAATTGGTCAAATGTTTAATTTTCCCTAGATGGATGATACTACAGAACTCTGAGTGGCATTGTTTTGGCTTATAGTCCAGTGTCTCGAGGCAATGCGGGGAAAATCCAGACCAACACAAGTACACACCCACACCCACACCCACACCCACACCCACACATACACACACATCAATGCACCTCGCTATACAAGTGCCATGATCTTGAACGCAATGTTGAACCCAATTTTACCTCAGCTTATCAAAGCTCAAGTCAGACCTTTGTTCTTATTGTCAGCATTTACCTCTTCTGCACTGTGTCTGCTGTCCACTCACAACCTGTGAAACGGGTATCGTCAGTTCTATGCGTGTTTTAGTCATGCTGGTACCTCTTCTAACCTTATCCCATTTTCATCTTTTTCTAGATGTAACAGCGTATGCGCAGCTACCAGGATGTGCTCCTTCAATAAATGTTTTGAGGGTGTGTCCGCCTTCTTCCAGAGAATATTTGAAAAAATCGGTATTTTCATTGGCACCTACCCAGTTGTACTGGTAGTTGCCTCACTTTCAGTAACCCTTGGTCTCAGCTGTGGTATGATAACATTGTCCAACGAGACTGACACAGAGACCCTTTACACGCCCATTAACAGCAGAGCATCACAAGACCGAGTTCAGTACCAGGCCACGTTCCCAGACGCCACAGGAAGCAACTACCGCGGATATGCACTTGCGGCTCTTGACATGTATGGCCGATTGTTGATAAGCAGCATGACATATGGGAACATCCTGTCCAATGCATCCATGCAAGAAATACGTCACCATATTAGCACAATAAAAGATATCAGTACTACATATGAGGGGTTGGTGATCAAGTATGTTGATGTCTGTGCTCGACAAAATGGAAGTTGTTACGCTTCAGGAGAGTTTCTCACAACAGATGCTGTACATAATGCTTATCTGTCTGGTGGAATCACCTACCCAAACTGGAATAACATAGACATATCAGCATTTCTTGGACAGGCTGCTTCGACAGGTGGAAAACTGGTGTCTGCAAAGTACCTAAGTATTTCATTTAATTTACGAATGGATTCAGCGGTTAACAAGGCAAAAGCGAGAGCTTGGGAAGAGGAGTTCCTGAAAAAAGCAGCAACTTTAGGCACAATGTCTACAAGGATAAACTATGCCGCCTCCCATTCGCTAGACGCAGAGTTGAACAAAAACACAAATGGAGACATCGTGTTCTTCTCTGTAACGTTCACGTTGATGATCACTTATGCCACTTTTGTTGCTGGCGGGGATGTTGTGTCATCGAGGACGTTGGCATCATGGGCTGGCGTTATGGCAGCTGGATTTGGCATCCTGTCATCGTTTGGACTTGTCAGCCTTTGTGGTGTAAAGTTTGTCAATATCGTCGGTGTAACACCATTTCTTATCATAGGTACGTTGAAATAGTTTGATAATAGAGTTACAGAGAAAAGGTATGTGGTTAAAGGTCAGATATATTATATTTAAGTTTCCTTGCCACACCAGTGACATTCTCGAAACTTTGGATCTCCTGTACTGTGAAACAAATCATTACTCACATCCTCTTATTCTTGAAGGTATCGGTGTGGACGACATGTTCCTGTTGATGTCCAGCTGGGCGGAGACCTACCCTCATCGAGACAAGACCGTGGCCAGTAGGATGGGGATGACCTTTGCCTCAGCTGGCATCGGTATCACCATCACGTCCCTCACTGATCTCCTGGCTTTCTTAACTGGCGTGTCTTCTGTGTTTCTCAGTGTGAGGAATTTCTGTCTCTATACAGGTTAGTGGTTTCAACTGTATAGCAGGTTAGCTGTCTCACTAAAAGCCCAGTCTCCCTTCTCCCCATGTCGTCCATTTGTGCCAGCCTGATAACTAACATGATATGTTATATATGTATATACTGTATATATTCTTCTCATTCACAGGAGTGGCCGTCATCTTCTGCTACCTGTACCAATGCCTCTTCTTCTCCCCCTGCCTTGCCATCCATGGCCGTCGGGTTGACAGTAACAGACACTGCATGACCTGCCTCAAAACTAAATCCAGAAACCAACTCAGGAACGATGATGCCTCTACCTGTAGAGTGTTCTGCTGTGGAGGCTCACCGCCAACAGAGAGGGGACAGGATGAACGATTCTTTGAGACACTGCCACGAAAGTACCTGCCACAAATGTTACTGTGTGTGGGGGGGAAGGTAATTGTGATTGTGCTATTCTTGGCCTACCTTGGTGTGTCAATATGGGGAACATTGAACTTCAAACAAGGTTTGATTTTGAAGAATCTGGTCTCAACAGATTCATACTATCATTCCTATAGTGAGACAAATGATGCATACTTCTCCAGTACTTTTCCTTTCCCCTTTGTGTTTGGCCCAACTACAAATTACACAGACAAGGATACTGTTGATAATATCGAGTCTCTGATCAATAGTGCAAAAGCGGACCCTGGAGTAAATGAAAATTCGCTCGTTTGCTGGTTCGATTCTTACAGAGAAACAACTGCTTATGACAACAGCAGCACCACAGCTTTTGTATCGGGATTGAAAACATTTCTCTCAATGACCACAAACTTTGATAAGGATGTTGTCTTTGACTCAACCAGTACTAATATCAAAGCTTCCCGATGTTATCTTTTATCAATCAATATCAAAGGCTCTAATGCTCAAGCTGATGTCATGGTTCGAATGCGAGCTCTGGCTGACAACTCACCTCTCTCTGTCTACACCTTCCACCCAGCCTATATCTTCTTTGAGCAGTATGTTGCTATCCTTCCCAGTACACTACAAACTGTGGGCGTGGCACTAGTCGTCATGACTGTGGTCACCTGCATCTTCCTTCCTCATCCTCTTCTGGTTTTCCTTGTCGTCCTTAACGTCGTTTCTATCCTCGTTGGCATCTTTGGGTTCCTTTATATCTGGGGACTGAGTCTCAGTTCAGTGACAATGATCCATCTCATCATGTCTGTCGGCTTCTCGGTGGACTTCAGTGTGCATGTGTGCTCTGCCTATATGATTGGAAAAGGAAGAAACAGGAGTGAGAAAACAGAGTCTGCCATTGTTCATGCAGCTGGTCCCATATTAAACGGTGGAATGTCATCCTTACTGGGTATTCTTGTGCTGGTGTTCTCAAAGTCCTACATCTTCAACTCCTTCTTCAAGATCATGTTTACAGTGATCATGTTCGGCATGCTGCATGCCGTGTTTCTCCTTCCTGTGATATTGTCCATCATTGGTCCTTTAACCAATACTTTCATAAGTCCTGCAAGCTCACGCAGCAACAGCCGCCCGCCATCACCTCCCATAGACTACATGTAACAAAGACCGCTGTTGTCAACATTTCTCAACATTTTTAGCTGTAAACCAATGTGTACCCCAATGTCCCAATATTCTTATTCATTTGCACAGAATCGAATAATGTAAGTCTCTTTGTGTGCCCGTTCTGTTTATCTATGTATCTCTATCTGTCAATGTACATACACCATGTTGCTACCATGAAATCAGTTCACTGAATGGTCACATGTCTAACAGCAAAAGTGTTCTTGTTCCTGGTTATCTACCAGAGATGGACATTGTAAAAGGATACCTGCCAATATGACAGATACACACGCACTACAACAAATTACGGATGTGGTTTCTGTATAAAATAAAATAAACTTAATTGATCACTTAATGCCAGTTGCATGTCTTTGTGATTTATTGCATGCACTACTATGAATATTTGAATAAACCAGTCAGTTATTAAATTTGCTTGTATTCTTGGTACTTTACCAATTCATGCAAACACCCGTAAATAAAAGCGAGAAAACCCTTTCCGTTCGATTCCGACTAATTCATCAACATATGTTTGTGAATCACAATCAAACAGTGATGATACCAGGTGTAAGTGTAAAGATGGGCACGTCGTACCCTACCAAACGCAAAAGAAAGTCGATTGCTATCTTCATAGAAAGAGCATGCTCGATTGTACCTCACAAAATGAAACATGAAATGTAGACCGAAAGACTTGAGTTGCTTGAATATTGCTGGACATGAAGCGAAACAAATCTAACAGTACCATGTGGATTAATACAAGTCATACCTTTTAGAGTGCAGTTGCGTTTGTAGTGGAGTTAGAACATGACATTTACCACTAAGTTCGATGCAATTTGAAGCCTGATTTCAGTGCAGTTCAAAAACACCCTTGTGGATTGGAATGTCAACTGAAATGCGTAGGACATGTAATTATCCACCTGCACTCAGCCAGATGGTATTGACTCTAAAACAAAGTACAAGAAATTGTCCAAAGTGACGATTTGTTTTGTTGATCCATGCTAAAAACATGAATAGTTCCTCAATGAGAAGCATACTGCATGGAATTTATGCAATAAAGGTATTATCTGAACATTCATAATATTTTATGCATGCTTTACAAGTTTGTCAAAGGCAAAAGATAATTAGAAAGAGTACTTTTCTTTAAAGGAGGCATAATGTTTCCTCTATGTCGAGCAATGTCCTCCAGCTCCAGCCCTTGGTGTCTACATTTTACAATTGTGAATCACAATCGAGCAGTCTCTTTCTACCAAGACTTCAAAGAGCGCTATAGGACTCTTGCTCAGAAGCTGTCCCACCAAGGTAACAACATTCCAGGCCTCTGTAAAAAAATGTTTTATGGTGGACATGTGGAGAACAAATTTGATGCATCAAGGATGATGTCCGATGCAATTCCGTATTGTGACTTGTATTATATATTCCCTGGGTTTTTTTAGGGGGGGGTGGGGGGGTGGGGGGTGGGGGGCAGTTGACTTGCCTTTGCATGTGTTTGTGACAGATGGCACAGGATACACTCACCTTTTCTTGAACAACTGGCTTCATCACTATTTGATAGTAATTCACAAACTTATGGTCATGATATTGTCTGAATCGTGTAATCGACAGATTTCTTATGAACATGGAAGGGGTTTTGTCGATTTTATGTACATCATGGAGGTGGTCAAATAATATATTGAATAGGAAGATATGTGTAAAGTTTGTAATAATGATTTAGCACTACGGGCCCTTGAAACCCCATACCACGGGGTTTGGATTTATTCTGTTTCACACACTCCCAAATGTTCAGTCATTTCAAATGGAAGTTGACCACATTGACAACAATTCATAGTTATTCCAATAGTGGGGTGATTAACTTGTTTATTTAAGTCACCTTTTCGCGAGCACCTGGTATCATCACTATTTGATGGTGATTCATAAACACATGATCATGATATTGTCGGAATTGTACAATCGACTCTGCTTTTGGCAGAGATTTCTTATGAATATGGAAAGGGATTTGTCACCCTTTTGACTCTGCAAACAGGGAAGCATTAACCAGCTGTGGACTTTTGCTTGTTTTGCATCAGATTTTCGGGACCTGTGATTGAGAGCAGTACATATGCTGTTGAGGGTTCCTGTTGGTAGAAATGTAAAAGATTCGACGGAACTCCTATACGTTGCACAAACAAAGCACTTTTCTATCAGTCTATGTTTTGGATCATTTGGAATTGCATCAGTCCGAGGCGGAAGCTGCAGATGACAAAGAATGAAACAACTGATCTTGTGAAGATGGATGCAAAATATAGATTTGGGCATGAAATATGGATTGGAATACAAAATACAGATTTTGGACATAAAATGCGGAATTGGATATAAAATATGGATTTGGATATGAAAAAGCAGAAAAATCCTCTTACAAAATAAAAGGGAGTGTTCTATTAAAATGAATGGGCAAATGAAATGAAATTTACTTCTCAGTATATCCATCTTGTGATCAAAGATGAACTGTTTCAAACTTAAATAGAAGTTTAGCTTAATCATAGATCAGCTCTGTCCAATGTACTGGTAGCAAGTATAAGTAGCAGCAAATATAGGACAAAATATGAATCAATGTAATGTGTGGAACAAATAAACACTATTTAATTTGATAACACACTATGTCAATGTTCATTCATTAATTATTATCATCTTACATTCTTTTAAAAATATTTAGAAAACAAATGTTCAGAACATAACAAATATATGCCAAAATAAAATTACTGAAAGTGTCTTAACCTTCCCCTCGATCAGTCAATAACCGGAATAATTCATAGCCACTTGCAGACTATCCATGATTCCTTTCTTAAAATTAACCATCCAATCAAATGACTGCCTTGGGAAGGGATGACAATTCGGACCAATAACATTTCAGCGTTAGATGCAGTTATTCAAAGATTTCCAAATTTCACCTAGAAGCTGGTGAACAGGGCTTCCATGTTTTCCGAGCGATATTCCTTGTTAGTAGTTATGCAACTATTTACAATATATGTTTGTTCAGAGCAAAGAACATGTCACTTCAAACCACCATCTGATTACATAAGAATCGTGTTTACTCAGGTAATGGAAACAAAACTGTCCGAATATTGTGAAAGGGTACATCTTTCCCTGCTTGATGGAAGATGTTAGTAGTTTTACGGGTCTCACAAATCATATAAAAAGACACTAAGATGTGAAATTAACTGTTAAATCAGCAAATGTTTCATATATATTTTTCACACAGTCATGACTTTTTTTAATATTTTGTCAAAATTATCTCAAGTCTGCAAAAGACTCCACTGAAATCCTCAGCATGAAATTTGAACCTAATTCTCTTAATAATGCATAGGTACAGCCCATAGTCTACTATCAACAAGGGGCAGTCTGGTAGCCTAGTGGTTAAAGCGTTCGCTCGTCACGTCGAAGACTCGGGTTCGAATCCCGACATGGTTACAATGTGTGAAGCCCATTTCTTGTGTCCCCCACAGTGATATTGCTGGAATATTTCTAAAAGTGGCGTAAAACCATACTCACTCACTCACTTATATCTACAAACATATGCTGATGAAGTTACCAAAACCTATGCAACCTGTTAGTTATCATAGTTTAAACTGTTATATGTATTTCACAGTTACATCAATAGACATTGTAACATATTTGACTAACACGATGATTGTCGTGTGGTATCAAGGACGTTTATTCAGGGGAGATCATTATCCAGGACACCAATGCGTTGTCGTTGACATATATATTACATCCCTCTTTGTTGAGACATATCAACCCATCACAATCACAGGTCAACATGGCATTGAGCCCAGCTGACCCGACCATTTCGCGTGACAATTGGACGGCATATGGTACATATATCTTTATCAGATTCCAAGTTAGGCTGACTAGCTTCACTATAAGATTGATTATTGTCCAATGTTGTCTTTGGTGTCAATGGAGAATTCTCAAGGAGTTGAGGAGCCTCATGATTGCCTGCAGCTGTTTTGCTGATTTGTGGTGGATTTCTCAGGTCTTCGCAGATTATGTGCGGATCTAACTTTCGTCTGTCAACTGATTTCTCATGTGCATCATGAGTGGATAGACGAAGATGACTGCGGATGCGCCTGTAATTCCGGTTGTTTCACTCAACTATCTATGAGCGTAGACTTCGCGGTTGCCAAGTGTTTGAGCCTTGAAATGGGGCAATTCCCACTGGGTCTGCCGATAGCAGTGCGTGACAGTCACTGCCAAACTTTGGTCGTAATACTTTTGCTGTCTCTTTTTATCTCCATCAAGGCGTTTCTTAACGTCATTGTTGTCATATGATACTGGCTTCAGTACCTCTCGTGCTATAGGAACCTTGTTCCCATCAAAAGTTGAGCTGGTGAGAGACAACAGGCTTTTTAATGGTGTTGTGCGATAGTCCAACAAGCACAGATGTTTATCATCACATTTTGTCCATACATTTTTCACAGTCTGCACAGCCCTTTCAACTTCACCATTCGACTGTGGATAGTTTCTCCTGAAAGAAATATTGGAATTTACTGGAGGAATACTGCAGCTTTTCTGGAAAACTATGCCGACAGAATTGCCTTTTCAAAGCCTCTTTGGTTGACATACTGCTCATATCTTGTAGTATGTGCACTTCCATGTACTTGGAATAGCAGTCAACACTAAGTATGTAGTGACTACCTTTAAATTCAAAGATATCTGAGCCAGCCTCACACCACGGATAATCTGGAGTTTTGCTTGATTTCTGTTTGTTCGTGTGTGTACTCACCAAATCATCAATCTGGGATGACACCAAATCATCAATCTGGGATGACATCCCTGTCCAGTGAAGGGTTTCACAAGCTCGCCGTTTGCAGTTGATGATTCCAAGGTGAGAAACATGGATCTGCTTCATAATTTTTGGTTTTATGCTCGGAAGAACCACAATGCGAATATTTTTGTATATGATTCCATCGGATATAGTCAGTTCCAGATTCCAATACTTTCGAATGAAATGTGGAGTGCTTTCCTTCTTGTTGAGCCAACCCTTCTGGATAATGGAGTGAAGCTCATTCAGGTCTTCTGCTGTGCACCGCTGGAACTGTTGATATCTAACAGGCGTCACTGCAATGAATTCAATCATATTGACCAATATTGGTTCAATGGCTGCTTCTGTCACCTTTGGGAATATCCTTGTCCGGCTTATGGGTTACAGTTAGGTCATATGGTTGTAGCCTTAACATCATTATCTGCAATATCATGGGTGCTAAAAGGAGTGGCTTGCTAAATGTGCTCTGTAGCGGTTGTGATCTGAATCAATTGTCACTGAGTGCCCAAAAATGTAATTGTGAAACTTCTTGAAGCTGTGCACTATTGCAAGCATTTCCTTTTCA